TATAATTATCTGCTCCGTTTCCTGTGTCTGGTGACATTTCGGGCGGCTGCCACGTCTGACCTGCTCCATGCACCCCGCAGCTGATATTTCAGTGTTTGGTGGATTGTGGACAGTGACCCCCATGATGGGTTTTACCTCCCGGGGAGTCTGTGTTGTCAGCTCTGCCATGGCCTTGGCAAGAGGTTGGCAACACCTGAGCTGGGTGAGGCAGAACCAGGAAGGATCGCAGTCATCTCACCGCAGATTCCCCCGGAGATAAAGAAGCCGAACTCCGCCCACAAACCTTCCCGAAAATATTCCTCACTAATCACAAATGATAGAAACCCAATGCCTCTCCATACCCAGATATTACCTTGTAAAAGTTGCAGTGGCATGATCACTGTGCAGAGAGCAGAGCTGTGGGAGGGACCCAGCAGGCTCCACCCAGTACCGGGGGGGGCGGAGACAAGACCAGTCACCCTGCACAAGGGGAGTGAGCGGTCTTTATTACAGGAGGGGGCGGAGACGAGACCAGTCACCCTGCACAACGGGAGTGAGCGGTCTTTATTACAGGAGGAGGCGGAGACAAGACCAGTCACCCTGCACAAGGAGAGAGAGCAGCAGTAGGCGGTCTTTATTACAGGTGGGGGCGGAGATAAGACCAGTCACCCTGCACAATGAGAGAGAGCAGCAGTGCCCTGTCTTTATTACAGGAGGGGGCGGAGACGAGACCAGGCACCCTGCACAAGGAGAGAGAGGAGCAGTGACCGGCCTTTATTACAGGAGGGGGCGGAGACGAGACCAGGCACCCTGCACAAGGAGAGAGAGGAGCAGTGACCGGCCTTTATTACAGGAGGGGGCGGAGACGAGACCAGGCACCCTGCACAAGGAGAGAGAGGAGCAGTGACCGGCCTTTATTACAGGAGGGGGCGGAGACGAGACCAGGCACCCTGCACAAGGAGAGAGAGGAGCAGTGACCGGCCTTTATTACAGGAGGGGGCGGAGACGAGACCAGGCACCCTGCACAAGGAGAGAGAGCGGCAGTGACCGGTCTTTATTACAGGAAGTCTGACATTGGATTACAGATCTGGAAGAATTGCGCACAGCTCCCCGAGGTTCAGGAGGGATCCGCCGGTCTCCGTCATCGATGTTTTATTGTTCCTTTCAATACATGATAAAGTTTTATACATTGTACATTGTTTGTTGGAGGATTGTAAACTTTCGCTCTGCTTACATAAGGTGTGACTGAGCAGACGGTCCAGGAACAACGTGTTCCCAGCCGAGTCCGCATGGAGACACGCGGCTGAGTTCCAGAATCAATAATTCCCCCAATAATCATATACATTGATGAATCCCGCGGTCACATGACTTCCTGTCCTCAGTCTGGGCTCAGCTTACTGTACGCGGACACATCAGAGAAGGTTCGCCCGGCTCTGGGAACTTATATATACACTATATTGCCCAAAGTATTGGGCCCCTCCCCCTCCACATCATGTGATTCAGGTGTTCCAATCACCTCCGTGGCCCCCCCGGTGTATAGGACGAGGCACCTCGGCATGCAGACGCTTCTACAGACATCGGTGAGAGAACGGGTCGCTCTCAGGAGCTCGGTGACTACAAGCGCGGTGCCGTGATAGGTTGTCACCTGCGCAATAAGTCCGTCCGTGACATTTCCCGGCTACTAAATATTCCGCCGCGGTCACCTGTTACTGGGATTATAACAAAGTGGAAGCAACCGGGAACAACAGCAACTCAGCCAGGAAGTGGTCGGCCACGTCACATGACAGGGCGGGGTCAGCGCATGCTGAAGACTGGGAGGCCATTCGAGGGCGGAGCCAACCCAATACTGAACCCTACGGACTAAGACTGGGGGGCCATTAAAGTTCATGTGCGTGTAAAGGCGCCCCGATACTTTAGGCAATGTGTATGTGTGGACACCTCCACAACCCCAGCCGAGTCTTCTTGGGTTGGGTGGGCCGGCCCCTTTATTGCAGGTATAAAGTCGGGTTGTAATAAAAGATTGGCGCACCTTTAATAATCCGCGCGAGTCCATCCTTTGACCCGCCATAAAAGGTAAATGATGGCGCTTCTCTGGTTCTTTAAAGAGGACCTGTACTGTGGGAGACGTGTGACGTTCTGGTCTCCGGTATTGCCTCTGGTCTTTCCCCCATTACTGACTTGCCTTGTCTTGTTCTGCACTGGTGTCCCAGTATGGGGGGCGGCCATCTTGGTAGAGGCAAGACTTTGTTTCTGTGTCGGTGCCTCCAGCAAGGAGAACAGTGTAATGACATCATCAATCTCCTGAAAATACCGGTCGGAGGCAGCAGTGCCTTAGAGGATCTCACACTGCGGATATAGAGCTATGAGTACACAGAACAGGAAGTGCGCTGCTATCAGAAGTACCAAAGCACAGGACGGGCACCACTTTAGGGGTGGCTAGGTGCAGGACGGGTGCCACTTTAGGGGTGGCTAGGTGCAGGACGGGTGCCACTTTAGGGGTGGCTAGGTGCAGGACGGGTGCCACTTTAGGGGTGGCTAGGTGCAGGACGGGTGCCACTGTAGGGGTGGCTAGGTGCAGGACGGGTGCCACTTTAGGGGTGGCTAGGTGCAGGACGGGTGCCACTTTAGGGGTGGCTAGGTGCAGGACGGGTGCCAGCGCTGTAAGGAGTCACATGATCTCGGCCTTCCCGGGTATTGCTATAGTGGTGATATAAGATGTGGTGTCACCAACAGGTGCAGAAACAGAACAAATGGCCGCCGGGTCTGACCCATGTGACAGAATAGGTCGGGGTGGAGAGGTGTCGGGTCTGCAGCTGCTTCCTTCAGTACATGCGCAAGGGTTGGGGGGGGGCGTTTCTCTCATGAACCCAGTTTTTGAAGTCGTTGATCCTCAGGGCCCCTCCGCCGGGCTGAACGAGGACCCTGGAAATGCTCACACACGACGCGCTCGCAGCAGTTGCCGGGTTATTTATAGCGTCTGAAAGTGGGATGCAGCCTAGAAATAGCCGAGCGTGACTACCAGACGCACAACGCCGAGTGACCACCCCCAGCGTGACCCCTCCACCTACTTATGTATACAGCTCAACTATGAGGGGCTCCCACCATCCCTGTGCTGAGTTCCCGGGTCTGTACACCCGCTGTGCCCATTATGAGGGGCCCCACCATCCCTGTGCTGAGTTCCCGGGTCTGTACACCCGCTGTGCCCATTATGAGGGTCCCCCACCATCATTCATCAGTATCCCATCTGTCATTAGTGGGTAGAACACGGTATAATCCTGTGGTTGGGTCTGTGAGCTCCGGGTTCTGATCCGGGATACTGAGCGGTACTTGTGGGCGGGGTCTTGTAGTTGATTGATCTCATTAATTTGCTCTCAGACTGACTCTCTCAATGTTTGTTTTTGTTCTCAGGCGGACAATGAAATCTCATCGGACTGTAACCATGTAAGTACTCGGACTACAGTAACCCCTCCCCCTCCCTGTCCTGGGCTGCCGTTCAGAATTTCCCGAGCAATGCTGGTGTTCTTCATACTCCTCAGACCTGCTGTCACCCCCCCCCCATCCTTCTACCCCGTGCGCTGTGCTCTCTGTCCATTGACTCTCATGAAGGACTCGCAGATGAAGGAAGATTTGGATCAGTCAGGGGGGAGACATGCATGTGACCTGTACAGGTGATCTGTCGCCCACGTAAGGTGGCACTCTAGTCACTAAAAATACATCTAATGTCCTGTCATGTAAAGCCGCCGGCTCTGAGCTATACCGGTGACCGCCCCTGACGCTGGTGACCGCCCCTGACGCTGGTGACCGCCCGTGACGCTGGTGACCGCCCGTGACGCTGGTGACCGCCCCTGACGCTGGTGACCGCCCCTGACGCTGGTGACCGCCCGTGACGCTGGTGACCGCCCGTGACGCTGGTGACCGCCCGTGACGCTGGTGACCGCCCCTGACGCTGGTGACCGCCC